TTTAAAGATTGTCGACGAAGGCTATGCATTGGAGTTCGAAGAGCTCCCACCAACAGGGCAGATTGTTGATACTGAACCATCCTTGGCAATCCTGACAGAGGTCGAGACCTTGCTTCTGAAAGGGGCAATTTCCCCTCTCCCAGACTCTCAAAACCATCGAGCCTTCTTCTCCAGGTACTTTACTGTCCCAAAGCCGGATGGCTCCCTCCGCCCAATCCTCGATCTCAGAGACTTAAACTCCTTCATCGAACCCCAAAAGTTCCGGATGGTGACGGTATTGTCCATTCTCCCTCTCCTCAGATACGGAGACTTCTTCGCGTCCGTCGATCTCCGGGACGCTTACTTCCATCTCTCAGTCAGAAAACATCACAGACGCTTCCTGGCCTTCAGGGTAGCAGGACAGACGTATGCCTTCAACGTGCTCCCGTTCGGGCTCGTGACGGCACCGAGAACTTTCACCAAATGCATGTCGGTGGCCGCAGCAGCCCTCAGAAGGGAAAACATCCGCATTTTCCCATACCTAGACGACTGGTTGTTGGCAGCACGCTCCCCAGACCTCCTGCGAACGAAGGTGGCAAGGACGCTTTCCCTTCTCGAAGACCTGGGCCTTCAGCTGAACGAGGAGAAATCTCATCTCGAGTCCACCACTTGCATAAAGTTCATCGGCGCCATGTTCGATTCTCTCTCCCAATCAGTTTTCCTTCCGGAAGAGAGGTTCAGGGCCCTTCGAGCCGAAGCGCTCAAAGTGCATCGAGCCCGAGTGGTCCCGGCAAAGCAGATTCAGGTCCTCCTCGGGCATATGGCCTCCACGGTGATGGTGACACCATTGGCGAGACTCCGCTTCCATCCCCTCCAGAGATGGTTTCTGGACCACTTCAACCCCATACGGGACAGTGCTGCGAAGCGCTTGCTGATACCGAAGTCGGTAAAGGACTCCCTCAACTGGTGGATGAATCGCCAGCATGTCTGCAGAGGCGTTCCATTCCACCCAGATCCCCCGTCCGTCACGATCACGACGGATGCCTCGATGTTCGCATGGGGATGCCATACAGGAGAACTCTCGGTCCACGACCTCTGGTCTCCACAGGAAAGACAGTACCATATAAATTACTTGGAACTGCTGGCAATCTTCAAAGCCCTGAGAGCATTTGCCCTCCTCGTCATGGGGAAGTCTGTCCAGATCCTCATGGACAACATGGTGGCAATGTTCTACGTGAACAAACAGGGAGGAACGGGCTCGAGAAAACTTCTCAAGCTGTCACTAGAACTTTGGGACTGGTGTGTGGCCAGGTCGGTGTCGATAACAGCTTTACACCTCCCGGGCGAGATCAATGTCGAGGCGGACGCGCTCAGCAGAACCAGGGCAACCTCTCATGAATGGAGGCTGAACCCCGACGAACTGGCCAAGATCTTCAGGGATTGGGGCCTCCCATCCGCAGACCTCTTCGCGTCGCCGCAAAACGCTCAGCTCCCGCAGTTCGGTGCTCAGCTTGCTCCGAACACGGTACCGGGATGTCTCGGAGACGCGTTCCTGTTGGACTGGTCGAGGCATCTGCTTTACCTCTTCCCTCCCTTCCAGCTCATCCCGAGGGTGATCGAGAGAATCCAGTCGGCGCAAACAAACTGCATTCTGATAGCGCCGGAGTGGCCACGACAACCGTGGTTCTCGGTCCTTCTCCAGTTATCCGAGGGACGGATGAGGCGCCTTCCACTTCGGCAGGATCTACTCTCCCGGGAAGATGGTCAACTTCTCCACCCCGACCTCGCTTCTCTGCATCTTTCAGCGTGGAGGATCTGATCTTGAGGTCCCTGTGCCCAGGAGTTCTTCCGATCCTGGAGGCAGCTCACAAGCCAGCGACCAAAAAATG